CGAGAGCAGCATGCCATAGGGAGAGTTCTGCACCAACCCAAAAGAGAACGTTCATTACAGGAGGTAAAACTTGTTGAAAGAACATGACTAATAGAAACAGTTTGGGTCCATTGCTGAGAACAGCCCTGAAGAAAAGGGATCAGGGGATACAGGAGAACTAAAAACCCTGCCTTCTTGAACACATGGCAAATGGTACTGAGCTTTGTGTCATCTGTTTCCCTCTGGCCAGGCACCGCATTCTGTGTAGATGGGGCATGCATGTATATTGCTGACACAATTGGTCATCCTGTGTCCAAGCAGGATGGCAGGACCGGTGGGTCTTTTGGAGGGTAACAGACTTGTTTCATTTTGAAAAATATTACAGCTCATAGATGTTAGCCTTTGCCGTGGGTTCCAGTCCATCTCAGCCCCCTCAGAAGTTGTGACCATGTGCAGACCCTTGGGGCTGTGTCAAATGAAGCTGAGGTCTCAACCCAGTTTCCATCAGCAACAGGTTTGACAGTAACTGGCCCCCTTGCTAGGGTAAAAGACCTTGACATGAACATCTTTTCTCCTCTAGGGGGATTTCCTAGTTCACAGCTGGCAGAAGCAAAGGTAGGAAAGGTGCAATGTACTTACTTGTAGTAAGACAGCGGCTAAATACAGGAGATCAGTCTACACAGCTGACACTCCAGCATTTTTATTTTTTTAAAATAAGTTACAAAACTCTCAGCAGTTTGTTAAAATGGGCCACCCACGCTTAGAATCCAGAGCTAGCAACCCAGATTATTGGAGACTGTTCAACATGCAATAAAATAAACAGTGGGTTTGCAAACCTTTTCTACACTTACAAAAATTATCAAAAAATCATAATCTCCAAATATTTACAACTCATTTCCATGGTGACAGAATAAAAATACATGTGTAGTTGGGCTGAACATTCCAGGAAACAAACTCTGTGTTAGTGCATTTATTTTTCTTTCCTTCAAGCAAATGGCCTGGGAAAGTCAGAGGTCTCATGACTGGGCCAGTGCCTGGTCTTCTCATTCCCGTCCTCTGCATGAAGATGTAACCCCTTTGTCAGTCAGTCTGAAATTTGGTACAATACAGTATCACAACCGGTCCAACCTATTGTAAAGGGGCCTCACACATCTTTTGCCGGCCCCCTTGAGAAAGTAAATGAGTAGAGTGGACAGTATCCCACAACAGCAGCCTTTTGCTGTCTTGCTTTGAAGAAAAATAGGTGAGATACAGACTTGGGGTGAGACCAAAACTGGTTCAGGAGTTACAAAATAGTATAAACATCCCACCAGTGGGCTCCTTCCATCCTGAGGTAATTTAGGGCAGGTCTTTCAGAGCATTTGTTTGGTTCAGTATGTCTCTGCATAACACAAAGGGCCATACAGAGCACTCTCAAACGGGCTCCCAGGAGAACAACTCCAGCACGTCATTTACTTGTGTGAGATGTTGCTGAACAGACTGAAATGCCTCTCAGGTACATCAGGAAATCAAATCTGCAATCACAAATTAACCAAACAAATCTTGTTTTAATTGTCAATATATTTAATCCCCGTCTCTTTCTCCAGTAAAACCTGCCCTGAGGAATGTTAACAGTAGGGGATTTCTTTGTTAATTTAAATAACCTCTTGAAAGTATCATCTGCATGTTTCCAGTTCTCTAGTTAAGTCATTTTGTACTAGGTATCTGGTTTGGCTGGTCCTTTGGATGGTTACTTAAAATGCCCAGGTCTCTCTCTCTCTCTCTCTCTCTCTCTATATATATATATGCACACACATTGGGCATATCTGCACTACAGAGAAGATCAACCCTTTAGAGAGCGATCATCTAGCATTTGATTTAGCAGCTCTACTGTAGACTCCCAAATCGAACACAGAGGGCAGCTCTCACTGGCATCTGATATTCCTTGATCTGCAAGGAGTAAGAGAAGCCTTCAGGAGTGTGTGCTCCTGTCAGCCTCCTGCAGTGTAGACGCTGAGGCAGTTCAGCTACAGGTATACTGAATCCAGCTATGCATTTTGCACCTCCTCGCATGTGCTATTGTACCAGATTCTCATTCTTATCAGATCTTCCACAGCCAACCAGATTTTTCCTTCATAGTGCTGCTTAGAAAATCCCTCTGTGTCTCATGAAATCACAAGCCTCTCATTCTCATAAAAAACAGATGTAGGAGGATAGCACACTAATGTGATGTGTGACTCCGTTCTGAGATGTAGTTTGAAGCCTAAATTCTGCTTTGGTTTGTCATGTGCTGTCAAAATAACAGCACAAATAGTGATATCACAGCCACCACTGGCAGCACCTGGGCAGCAAAAAGCCTTGGGCCATGGTTTGAATTCTTTTGAAAATGCAGTCAATCAGAGAAACCCCTCCTGGCCTACACTTCTTCTACAGAAAGGGTAAACCTCCTCTCCTCCAATACTTTATTTTAAACTAGGTCCAATTAAGCCTAGTTCTCCATTAGCTACCAAAGGGCCAATGCAACATAACCTCAGAAACATCTGGGATTTCTAAAAGCTGTGTTTGGGTAGACTCTTCACTTTTTGTCACTCTAGCATTCAGGCAGTCTGAAAGGTGACAAATGGCTTTGTTTGATGAGGAAGCAAGTAATTCTGAAATCCAAGCCAGATCTACTATGAGACCGTTGCCATCTATAATGTGTCTGTTATCAAGTATTTTATATAGTTTCTATTGCTCATACTTTTATTAGTCTTAGATGAGTAGCCATGTTAGTCTGAAAAAAACCTTAAACACGCGGTCCTGCAACACCTTAGAGCAGTGGTGCTCAACCTTTTTTCATTCACGGCCCCCCAGAACCGGGAAAATTTTTGTTGACCAAAAAAAAAAAAAGCTGGGAAAATGTTTGTTGAACAACAACAAAAAAGCTCGGTGCCTTTAATTGAAAGCGCCAGTCCGCTCCCCTGATACTCCTCCCACCCCTGCCAGATTGTGCAGCACTGTCTTAGAGCCTAACAAAAAGTTAATATAGTATCATGACTCTTTGTGGGCACAACCCAAATCTTCAGATGAGTGGAGTAAGAGACTTGATCCACCCATCTGAATAAGTGGTTTTTGTCCACAAAAGATCATGATACTATATTAACATTTTTTGTTAGGCTCTAAGGTGCTACAGGACTACTCTTTTTTAAGTTTCTTTCATACATGTATTGTGTTACACATATTTCAGTACAATATATACAGCATTATATATCTGTATTCTTATATACGAAGTATATATTCATTATGTTAACTCCACTTCTTAATGAGTCAGTGAATCAAAACAGACCATTTTAAGTTCATGTTAGCTAGCCATAAGATTGCCCATTCCCTCTAATAGCTATGAAGAGTGAGCAGAACTAGGATTATTTTAGCTATTTTATTGAGTTAAAGCTCAGCTTTTCACTGGTATCTTCCTCTCTCTTTCTTTGCACTGTGTTGATAGATGACTACTCTTTTACTGGAACAGCAGCTATCATCTGTATTAAAAAGCAAGTGGATGTGTACTGCTCTGGGGAAAGGCCAGTGATCAGGGACCTTTCCTGGAAAGGCAACCCCAGGCTGCATTTCTAGGTCACTGGTGTCAGTGCATTGCTTTCATGTCAGTTCACTGGCTCTAGAATCCTGACAGAGCAATCACTGACGTGAGTGTTCCTCTGTTGGCAGGTCCCATTGCCCCAATGGCTTCCTGGCCATTGGGTTGGGGTCACTTGCCCGGTGTCTCTGGTAGACCCTGTGATATGAACGCTCTTCAGTAAGAGCCATTCTCATGGTGCATTGTTTAAAGCCAATATCCATTCCATCGTGCCTGTGCTGTTAACCACCCTGAGCAGGCTGTGGAAATACTCTGTGCACCTGCTATGGAACCTGGAGATTCTTCAGACCCGTATTCTCTTTAAATTTGCCCTTTGTGCACTGAAGATGTTGCCATCATGTAATGTCAAACAACTCACATCCTAAGACAAGAGGTGAACATCTGTACGGGTCAACACCCTTCCCAGGGCCTGTCTAGCTGGGTGCTGAGTGGCTCCTCCACAGGGCTCGTCTCCATCCACAGCCATTTGTCATGTAGGTTAACTGGTTCTGTTCTGTAATGTGTCTGTAACCTTCAGTATAAGCAGAATATAAAAGTATTATCACTGGCATCACTCCATGGCTTGTTTCTTTACTTCTCTTTACCACCAAGTACCAGGGCTAGTTTCAGCAATGCATTTCCAGGACTTGGCTTTTATTAGAAAGGCAAATGAAGCCAGGCTCGCCGGTGGCTGGGGAGGGGGAATCTACTCAGAGTCCTAGTTCAGGAGATGGGTGCGAGGCTGCCATCAATGGTCCCATAGATACCCCCACCACCAAAGGAGGGAATGAGGTGGCTGGGGATGATGCCCATAGGATCCAGGGGTACCCTGCCGCAGGCCATTGACACAGAGGCCAGGGGGCTGGCTGAGGGGCTGACGACACCAAAGGTGCTGAATGGGTGGGGCCTGGCCTGTCACCCATGTCCGCTGCTCCGAGCCAAAGCCAGAGACACGAGAAGGCTGTCCCTTAAGGCCAGAGACAGAAAGTGGCCTTTCAGTTCTAGCAGGCCTTCCAGGGCACAGCCAGGGCAGCAACATGTGGACACAAAGTCCCTTGGAAGGGTGGCCACAGTACACAGAGGTTACAGCTCCAAGCCCAATGTAGGCAGCTCAGGCGGGTGGGAGGCCGGAGTTCTAAATTGGCCAGCCTGGTGCCAGCTGCCTGGATCCCTAAGGTGTTGGGGCAATAAGGGTATGTCTACACTTGCCCCTAGTTCGGCATAGGGAGGCAAATGAAGATACCGGAGTTGCAACTCCTCATGCAATGAGGAGTAACAGTTAATTCGAGGGAAGGGTTTTAAATCGGACTACCGTGTCTACACGCGGCAAGTTAAATCGGGCGACTGGCATTTTAAAATGGCGACTGGCTGCGGTTATGCTAATCAAGCGCAGGATATTTAAATCCTGTGCTTGATGTGCAACTTCGGTATGCTTCATTTGCCTCCCTAGTCCGAACTAGGGGGCAAGTGTAGACATACCCTGAGACTGCTGAAAGCTTGCAGTGAGAACACATTAGAATGAAAGCAAAGTCATGTGTTAAGCACCAGTAAGCACGTTACCTCTATTTTTTTTGTAACCTTTTCTGACCTTTATGCCTCATAATTTGGGCTCACTTTTTCTGATTCCATGTGTTCAAGCTGAAGGGTTTCAGTAATTCTGTTTGGATAACAAATTATGTGCATATTATTGCCTTTGAATGTAGGACACTCCTCCCTGCCTGAGCTCCCTGGCCCACATGTGGCCTTCCCCATTCCCTAACCTGCACATGGCCTCCTTAGCCTGCACAGTGACACTACTTGCCCCTCCCATTCCCTGCATGGTGGCATCCTCTCCCACCTTAGTTCCCTGTGCTAAATCTGGTGCTTCTCCCCGTGCCTGAGAGCCATAGGCTGCGCATTGCGCTCCCCCCACCACCCCGGAGCTCATTATGCTACATGTGACATTCCCCTCCCCCCCCACCAGCTGAGCTTCCCATGCTGTGTGGGCATTCCCCATAGGCTGGGGGCGGCCTCCCCAGCTTACAGTGACTTAATTACAATCTACAAGTACAATTCAGGGAACAAATATATAATCAAGGACTTTTCAGTCTAGCTGACAGAGGTCTAGACATACCCAGTCTGGAAATAAGATGTGCATTTTTAACTGTGAGGATTAACAACTAGAACAATTCACCAAAAGTTCTGGTGGATTCTCCAATCTCTACATCGAGTGGATGTTTTTCTGAAAGCTCTGATTCAGGAATTATTCTAGGACATTTCTCTGGCCTGTGTTCTACAGGAGGTCAGACTAGATGATCGCAGTGTCCCTTCTGGCCTTGCACTCTATGGCTCACTAACTGCAACAATTATTTTTAAAATATGACTTCAAAATAACTCTACAAAATATATTTCTGTGTTCAAGATCAGAAAGAGAAACTAAAAGAAACAAGACTACGTGTGTTCCCTCCAGGTGACACTACTGCTGGCATCATTTTCAACGATAATTTTTATCAATACTTTATGAAGCAAGTGATTAGTGGATTCTACATTTACCTCTAGTGACTGGTTGTCAGAGGAACGGTGAGAAGTCAGTCTGTCATGATGTTGCTTGATACATTACACAAGCAGTGAATTTAATCACTGATTTATACATGCATGACATTCTAGAATTGATGTTTAATGCAAACCATTTTATTTAGCTTTTATTTATTCTTAATAAAGTATTTATACAATTCATTACAAGATATACCAGGAATTTTAGGTACTAGGAAGAAACAGTTAGCAATATGCTTGACAGGTACAGAACTGACTGGGATCACAGAAGAAAATGTCCATCCATTTACCCAACAAACAGGTAAGTTTGTCTTCGGAGACACAATGACAACATATAGTGTGGTGGTAAGATTAGAGACTACTTTTTTGTGTGACCAATGCTGTCTGACAGCCCAGACCCAGCCTCCTGTGAACACTCCGCGAGTGCACCCCCAAAGCAGGCAGGGCAGAGGGAACCCAGAGCTCGCTGCACAGTGCGGTTGTAAAATACAGAGCAGGGAAGGTGCAGGCCACATGTTCAAAACAAACGTGACCCACTGTGCAGGAGAAATTCCCTGAACCCTCAGCCAAGAATGCCAACACAGAAGCTGCTTGGTGCTACTGCCCTGAAGTGCCAAACCTGCTGGCAGAGGCTCTGTTGGAAGCCAACAAAAGTCCCATGCCCTGCTCTTGGCTGATGGCCAATTCCAGCCATACGCTCAAAAAGAGAAACTGAGACATCCCTGCCCCCACTCGTTCTGGACAAAGTGCTGCTTTTCAGCAGTCCCAGAGGCTTGCTCTACACTGCAAGAAAAGCCCATGACTTACCTATTCCAGCTGACTAAGGCTTCTGGGGACCAGGCTGCAGCTTGAGCTCTGGGACCCTCCCACCTCGCAGCATCCTAGACCCCTGGCTCCAGCCCGAGCATGAATGTTAACATCGTAGGTAAGCAGCCCTTTGGCTTGAGCCCGGCTCAGGCCTGCAGCAGGTGTCCAAACACGATGTAGACTAGCAGTGGGCAGCCTGTGGGATAAGCTGCTGGTGGGGTTGCCTGACAGGTTGTTTACCGTATGTCCACAGGGACGGCCACCTGCAGCGCCCATTGTCCAAGAATGGCAAACCACATTCAAAAGGAGCTGCAGGCGGCTGTACCTGTGAATGCAAGCCTACAACCTGTCTGACAGCCCGCCAGCGGCCCACCCTGTTGAGCCTCGTGGCAGGTTGCCAATCACTGCTACAGGCGCACGCTGACATGAGAGCTGATCACAATATCAACAAGCAGCACTGACAACATCAGTCAATACACGAACTCAAATCAAGAACAGGAAAAGGAGCATTTTCCTGTATTCCCTGTGTGCCTCCTCCCAGCAGCCGGTCTCCCCCTCAGCATCTCTGGGCACAGGCTCTGTATGGGGGCTGGACAACTCTCTCCGGGTGTTATACCCAGTGTGTGGCTAGGGGGAGGGTGGGCTGGGAGGACACGATTTCACAAAACCTGCAGCAGCACTTTCAGGTGATTTGTTCCACGCAGTGGCTGCAGGATCATTGTACAGACTAGGAAGGGACAGGCGGGGTGGCTCCAGTGGGTAGGCCAGCTCAGGGGCCCAAAATAAACCGAAAGGAAGAGTGGGTCTGCTTCCCCATCACAGTGATCTTAGGGGCATGGTGGGGGCTGGACTGACAAACTTGGAACTGTTCCTCAACTGACTTATGGTGGAACATCCCCATGCCCAGCTATGAGCAGCACTGGTGAGAACCTGGATCTTCTGGAGACTCTGCAAAGGAGGCAGGAGAATAAACCGAGGTCCAGCAACGATGCATATTACAAACAGGCACACGCACACGTGCAAGCGCTGCCTCAGAAAGGAGCATTGCCAGCGTACAGGCAAACCACAGCCTGCATGGTCCCATGGCCACCACAATGGCACAGAATGGGCATTATGCCACAGTTTTCCCAGGTCCAACAGACATTCCCCTGGCTGGCTCCTACCTGCCTGGGTGAGTCAGTGTTTCTTGCTTTGCTTTCCTTAGAGGTGACACAGACCCCCAGACATCTAAATGTGTAGGGAGTGGGCAACTGCAGGAGACAGCAGATATGCACACTAGGCCATGTGCTCTAGTGCAGGGAGCGTGGCTGTCCCTTCGACCCCCCTTGCTGGTACACAAATCACCCCCACGCAGGCCTAGTGCCTCTGTAACCAAGTGCTGCTGAGCAGGGCCTACACCAAAGTGGTTTGGGATCCACATGTGTGTGTTGGCAACACATGGAAAGAACACAATGCACACCTGATGCTTTCACACTTATGCTGCCATCGACTGAGCATCAGGAAACCTGCCTCCCGGGGCTCTCACATGGAACGTGGCTGAGGCGATGAGACGTTTTGATGCTCAATCTAGTGGTGGCTGATCTACTGGTGTGGAGTAAAACAGTGGATATAGGTGAGGACTGCAGGCAGCTCTCTGCAACAGTGCAAAGTTAGCTGACATGCACCTCCAGGGATTCCAGGAGACCTACCAACTCCCTACTTGGAGCTAAGCATACTGAGGGACCAAAGGAGAGGTGCAGGTTAAGGTAGAAGACATAGTACTTTTGTGGCTCTCAGTCCCACAGGTGGTCGCAGACGGGCTGACCAAGTCAAGGTAGAAGTGAGATTTCAGGAAGCGGCGATATGAATCCTTCTCCATGAGGATGAAGATTTTTCTCTGAGCCTCATCAAAGCATGACAGGGTGGGCTCAAGGACATTGCGGCTGGTCACTTCCCGTGTGCACGAATCCAAGTTCACCTGTAGAAGGGAGGAAGAGATTAGTACAGGCTGGTCTGGATGCAGGCAGGGCAAAGAATTGCAAGTTAGGGTTTGCTCCAGATATTTCCCAGAGAGTCTGTAAAATGCACCAAGAAAGGGCAGGCTCTCCAGGAACGAGTGGGGCAGTGTGTCTCTCAGAAAAATCCACCCAGTCAACAGAACTCCATGGAAGTAAAAGATGGGGGGCTGCTTGGACCTCAGTGGGATCTCCAGCTATACAGGGGGTTATTTACAGGAGTGAATCCCTCAGTCTGGAGTCAAGAAGGGGTATTTTCCCATCTCTGGGACACGGAGCAAGAATCACCCTATGGGGCAGGATGGCACATTCCAGGGATAGATTCTTTGATTGCATGGAACAGGCATGGGGAACCTCTCTCGGTCTGATCCTTTCCTCCTTATCTTGGCATTTCGGGTGTATGGGGGTGGGGACTGAGCCCCTCCAGGAAGAGTTAATTTAAAGCAGCGAAAGTTGCATATTTCAGGTGCACTTTTTACTAGCATTTTGCCCACACTACAAAGGCCCTCCTCCACCCCTCTGAAGAGCCATGAGAGTGCCATTGTAGGGCCAGCTCAGCTCCCCATTCTGCTTATCCCTGAGGCAGAGGGATTCTCCAGAGGGGCTTCACTTACTTCTCTAGTGGCCTGCTCAGAGATGAATTCTTCGTAAATCTTCCTGGCCCTAGGGCCAAGCTCGGCCGGCGATTTGGTTTTCTTGTACTCCTCACAACTCGCCCAGAACTCGATGTTCTCCTCGCTGTATTCAGACTTGAGGAAAGCCCGGAACGCAGCCAGCCCAACTGCACAGAGTGAACGCAACAGGCAGCATGTGAGTCCCCTCAGCCGCTAGCTCCTCTGAGCTGTGTTAGGCTGATCCCAAGCAGCCCAGTGGGCTGCTGCCCACTAATTCATGGACAGCAGCTCCCAACTGCAGAGGCTGCCTTTGGTTTGGCCTTCCTCATGGAATTTCCAGAGCCAGCATATGGCCAGCGAGGGGAGACCTCCAGGGTAGTCAAACAGCAGGGCCCCTCAGGCACCAACTCCCAAGCAGTGACCTTCCCTGGGCAGCTGACAGACAGACCCTGTTCCATCTGACCCCAGGCAGGCCATTAATACACAGTGTATTTCAGGTCTGGGAATCTCTCTGGCCTGGTGGCACAGAGCCCAGGGGCTGCGGCATAGGCTGAGAGGGGCTCCTATTTGAGAAGCTGGAGATTTGTCCCTCACTGCCTGACCTTCATGTCATCCACAACGAGCTTTACTCTGAGAACAAACTTCAAGCAGGCCTGGAACTGCATATGTCCTGGCTGCATGCCCACAAGAGGCCAACGGGGTGAGTTCTGTGGAACTGGCCCCAGAGCTGAGCACTGCGACAGGCTCATGAGGCTAGGAAACAAGATGGGCCAAATTAATTCACTCTGTTAACACAGCTGACTTCAGTGGAATTGCACCAGGGCTGACTTTGACCCAACAGTTGTCTTCTTTAGGGTGACTAGGAATAGGATAGGAACGTAAGACATGCTAGGGTCAGCGGCAGAGCGGACTCTGACCACCCTCTGGGACCAAGTAGAGCCACTCT